AGATGTAATATATGGACCGTGCCTAGACCAAAATGAACAGCTACGAATACAGAAGGTACAGAAATCCTGTTTTATTTTATAATATAGGTTTATTCAGGAACGTTTAATATTACAATTATTATATTAATTGACAACAACAATCATATATCTATCAAACTGACATAACTGGTTTAACTGGTAAGTGTCTATTAATATAGGTAATTATTATGTTAATATTACCTATATTAACAAATCCTGCCTCAGGTTTATCTACGGAATCAGAAAGTTTCAACCGGTCTCACACAAACTTAAAGATACAAGATGACTAGACATGAAAAAACGGAGAGAACTACATTCTCTTGTCTTTTTTCATAAAATAATAAAAACTCAAACACCACCATATCTGGCAAAGAGAATCCAATGCAGAACTGACATTCACAACCTAAACCTCAGATATAGAGGGTTGATAGCACCACCACGGCATAAAACGGCAATGTTTGAACGGAGCTTTACTTACAACGTATATCGCCTGTATAATGGTATTCCCACCGCTCTAATAGATCTTAACCCAAAGAATTTTGAAACGCGAATTAAGCTGTACTTTTTTGAACAATATTTAATATAAACTGTCCAATTCCGTACTTAACACTTTCTGAGCAGAGGTCTGATATATTTATTATATATTATTTATTTTTCTCTTTTTCTCATATTGCTTGCAGAGGATTTTGAATTGTTACCTACGGAGTCAACAGGTTTTCAATACTGTTAAGATCACCACTACTAGATTTTTGTCCTAGTTAAAAACAAAAAAAAAAAAAATCTCTGCTCTGTGGTTGTGGCGGACGTTGGTTCGGATAGTAAGGAAGACTTTCGGGTCTGGACTCGATCAATTTTCAAATTGTTTTCCAGGTCCGTTTTGCAATTATTGTAACTAGTATGAAATATATACTATGTATATAATATATTAAATATTTGTTAAAAAAAAAAATATTTATATTGCAAATAAACGTTATTATTATTATTATTATTATTATAAAATTATCCAAAATAATTTGTTGCTGAATACCTATGGTGACAATAAAATAAAAGCTATTGGCTATGTTATCTTGAGATGTTTAAAAATAAGAAACAGAACATAAAAGTTGTAGTGTGACAGTATGCCTATTTTAGGATTAAATACTTGCACTTAGTTAGAATTATTAAAAAGAGTAGATTCTGTTAAAGTTCTGGATGAGAAACAAAATTTTTTGACTAAGAATGCCAAAGTATTTGAGGGCACAGGCAAAATTCCCTATTAATATAAGATTGTTTTAGCATCCAATGCACAACCTGTAAGTAGCGCCTGTAGAAGAGTGCCAGAGGCAATACTATCGAGGCTGAAGGCTTCGCTAGATGACTTGGAAAGTAGAAAAATGATTTCTAAAATGGATGAACCTACCGAATGGGTCAATAACATAGTTATCGTGGAGAAGCCTTCGGGTGCGTTACGTATTTGCCTTGTTCCAGTTCATTTGAATAAGTATGTATGTTTTGATCAATATCCGATACCAACAGTTGAGGAATTGACATTAAAGTTAAAAGACAACAGTTTTAGACCTAAAGGAAGGATTTTATCATGTTCCCCTTGATGCTGCAAGTAGAAAATTATGTACATTCATAACACCTTTTGGCAAATATTCTTTCAATCGACTCCCATTTGGGCTAAATGTGCGTCCTGAAGTTTTTCAAAAAATAAATGACAAAATATTTGGAGATTTGCCTATCGGGATATATTTTGATGATTTTATAATAGGGGGAATAAATGAGGAAGAACATGATAGGATTCTTGCGGAGATGATTGAACGGGCAGATAAGTATGGAGTAAAATTCAATAAATCCAAAGTGCAATACAAAGTTTCACAGGTTTGCTATATAGGTCAGGTTTTCTCAGTAGATGGTGTACGACCTGATCCTGAGTATGTAAAGGCTGTTCTAGCACTAGAAGAACCTAAAAACAAGAAAACTGTTGAGGATACTAGGTATGGTTAACTATCTTTCTAAATATTTGCCTAGATTGTCTGAGTTGCTGTCTCCATTAAGAAATCTGATAAAAGATGATGCTGAGTGGACATGGACTAAAGATCATGCTTTTGTTTTTTCCAAAGTTAAAACTATAATAACTGAAATTCCTAATTTGAAAATATTTGATCCGAAATTGCCAGTAGAAATTCAGACAGATGCCAGTCAAAATGGTATTGGGGGGTGTCTTTTACAAGAAGGTAGACCTGTGGCATTTTGTTCACGTAGTCTGACTGAAACCGAACGTAAGTGGGCTCAAATAGAAAAAGGGTATTTGGCTATCTCTTTCAGTTTGCAAAAATTTCACCACTTCATTTATGGTCGTAAGATATTAGTATAAAAAGTGATCATAAACCTTTGGTTTCTATTAATAAAAAAGATATTTGTAAAATTAGTTCTCGCTTACAAAGGTTAAAGTTGAAAATGTTAAAATATAAATTTAAAGTCGAGTATCTGCCTGGCAAATATATGTATATTGCCGATCTCTTGTCCAGGTCATATTTGAAGCATGCTGTGAAAGATCACGTTGAGATGAAAGAAGTAATACGCTCTATAGATGTTAACCAAACCTACCAATCTCTCCACAAAAACTCCATGAGTTAAAAACTGCCACAACTAAAGATTCCGTGTTATTAACTCAAATTATTGAATACTGTATCTTGGGCTGGCCATCAAATAAGAAATCTATTTTCAATCCAGAAACTAAATCTCTTTACAAAACTAGACAAGATTTACACACAAACAATGGTTTACTTTACCACAATTTCAAGTTAGTTGTTCCCAAGACATTAAGTTGACAAAGTTACATGTGGGACATTTTGGTATTGAAAAATCTAAAGCAAGAGCCAGAAAAATATTCTATTGGCCCGGTCTCTCAACAGACGTGGAAAATTTTGTATCTAAATGCAAAATGTGTTTAGAAATAATGTCAAAGAGCCATTAATTCAGCATGAGAGGCCACAAGTTCCTTTTCAAAAGGTTGCAGCAGATATTTTGACATAATATGCCGGTAAAGACTATCTCGTTGTGATTGATTACTTTAGTAACTGGTTAGAGTTCTTTTGGAAAATAAAACAGCTGGGGAAATTATTATACATCTTAAGAAAAGCCAAGTGTAACCGTAGAAAATACGAGTGTACCGTTAAACAATAGTAGATTATACCACGAGTCAATAATGATAGCTATTATTCCCGCGGATTATTACGAACTGAGCCGCGTTAGCGGCGAGGGAGTAACATTCCGAGGGAATAATAGCCATTATTGCGAGTAGTATACTCTACTTTATTTACGACAAATTAATTTATTTGAGATTTTTAATGAACAAATTTCATCCGTCTCATAATTTTCAAAACAAATCCACAAGCACTACACGTTTGACACTGACACTTTTGTGGAATAATGACCATTAATCCCGTTACTCGTCATTAATCCCTGGAGGAATAACATATGTCATTATACTGCCAAAATCACAAATATAATACGCACATTATACATTAGTCGTAAATAAAAATATTGTAGTCTCGGCTAGTGACAATAATAATGTACCTACCTGATTGTGACAATAACCCAAATATGACTAACGACAATTATATTACTCGTTCCAGCAGAAATGTTAAACTGCTCAATAGGTTTAGAGATTAGGTTACATTTTTCTCGATTTTGAGCAACACTGTGAAACCTTCATAACTTTTTTGTTTATGAAAATAATTGATTTCCGTAAAGACTTTCTAGAAGCACTTTTTTAAGAAGAATTCAGTGACGTTCTCAGTTTTTTCTAATTGACTTGGATTTCAAGATATTGACCAAAATCCGATTTTGTTCAATAGAATACCCTATATATGAATAGCTTATTGGAAAGCTCTGCTTTTGCCGATTTCAATGATAAAAGTTCGATAGGTTCATCCCTAACAGTTTTCGAGAAAAAAAATTATTTCTGTTTTTGTCATAACAAACAATGCGTTAGAAAGAGACCTTTCTCGTTTTCCCTACAGATATAATGTCCTTTTCCAACACATTGTGTCTTATGACAAAAATCGAAATTATTTTTTTCTCGGAAACCGTTGGAGATTAACCTATCGAATTTTATATAATTGAAATCAGCAAAAGCAGAGCTTTTCAATGAGCTATTAATATATAGGATGTCCTATTGAAAAAAATCGGATTTTGGTCAATATCTCGGAATCGGAGCCAAATAGAAAAAAGCTGAGAACGTCACTGAGTTCCACTTAAAAAAGTGCTTCCAGAAAGTCTTTACAGAAATGAATTATTTTCATAAATAAAAAAGTTATGAAGGTTTCACAGTATTGCTCAAAATAGAGAATCGCCCTCTAGCGGCTAAATCAAAATGCAATTTGCACCAATCAAAATTTCATGGAATTTGAGCCTCAGAGTGGGGGGTTCATTTTTTTCTATCTCTAGAAATAAAGGGTGTTTCCATAAGAAATTGTCCAAATTGGCCCACCCTGTACAACATGACAAAGATATAAAAATTACGTTACCCTTTTGAGAAATAAAGATTAATTCTATCGAACGTTTAAAGTGAATATCTTTTAAATAAAACATCTATCACGGTTATCAACAAATGAGTTTGGCAAATTAAAATCACCCAATATCAATACTTTGCTATCATTCAAAAATAGTATTTCCTCAAATATATTAAAATAGTTCTCACAACTTTCAACATTCATATTGGGTGGAAAGTATACTACAGACACATACACACACTCCTTTCTAAGTTTAAGTTTTAACTAATACAATATCTATATCACAGTTATTACAGCCAATGTCAACAACTCCAGAGGAAATGTCTTTTTTAATGGCAAGGAGATCCCCTCCCCCTCTGGTTTTATTGAAAATCCTGCACCCGCCACTGCTTATTTTTTACCCATAAAGTTCACTGTTTATTTTTAGATCAGAATTACTCTTGAATGTCTTTCATCTAAATCAAAATAAACTTTTTCCAGGCACAATTTGACGACAAAAGATGCAAATGCATTTGTCCAAGCTTATCATCAGTCACCAACAAAACAGAAAAAACCCACACAGAAAGGCTGATGCAAACAACCAACGATCCACCAAACAAATGGTAAGTCTCTTTTTTTTTACAAAAAAAAATAACACTAACATTTTTTTTCAAGTAACTGCGAGGTTGTAATGTTACCCAGAGTTGCGGACAAACTAAACGTAAGCGAAATGCGCGAATTTTGTCCGAGATGCGAGTGCAAATACGAAAATCGCAAGACCACAATAATCCGATACGTCGTTATCATTGTAATTTGGATTATATCGATTCTGGTAGTTTACATGCTCTTTTTAATCCTACTGGATCCTTTATTGAATAAAAGAGTTAAGGGCAACTATCAGGAACATACAAATGAGGAAGTAAGAATTTCTCTAATTCAGTTTTTGAGGATTATTCTTGTGTATTTTATTCATTTTACTACTCATTTATTATTTAGTGTAAAGCTGCAATTTCTTAGGAAGATGCTCAGCCTGGTCCGATGTCTCACAACATGAGTGCCAGAGGCAACGTATTGAATAGAGTGAGCAATCAGCAAGATAAGTGGAAGAGGCAAGTGAAGGAACAAAGACGCAACATCTACGATAGGCATACAATGCTAAATTGAATTTCTATTTATAGTAGTAGCAGGTTTTAAGGCATTATTTCTGTAAATATATTTAGTTCAAGTCTTCAAACAACCTTATAATTATTATAAAACATTCATTAAATTATTTGAGGAGATTACAATAAAATACTACTAATAATATTATTAATTTGATTTGCAGGATGCCTCATATTCTCAGTTGAAATTAATCTCTTTTTTAATAGTCAGCTTTGTCGTTTTTTTGTAAACAAAAATAAAATCGTCATTTACAAGGTTCAGATTGCATGATGACTTCAGAAATTGAACTCAACAAAAACCACCTGGATATGCTGACCAATCTGGAAAGTAAATGCTGACGTTTATGTTTTCTCATATTTCTTAAATAACCTTTAAGTACTTCTTTTTTTCCTGTCCTGAGAATTGGTACCTGAAATCAATCTTATAAGCGATGATGAAATTTGGGTGAAATATCAAAATAGGGGTAATTTCTACACTTTCTAAAAAGAAATGAATAATGAAAAAATCTTCATTAGTAAGTAGATCTTCTTTCTCACATCAAAGTAGAATAAAATGGAAATTCAGTGGTTGCTCATGTTCATAAAATTGTTGAATGAAATCAAACATAAAAGATGGAGATAATTTTCAATATCTTTTGCAATCAACAATGAAGAATTCACTTATTTGGTCTGCTACAGCTGAAAACTGCCGCAATGTGGTTGAAAGTTCTATTTATTCAGAAAATAAGATCAGAGAAACTATGGGTGAGAAATGTGACTAACGCTTAACAGCTATGGGAATTTTATCAAATTAAATTAGTGATCCATTCAAAATAGTAAATCATATAAACAATTTCTTCTCACATGCACGCTTTGCTGTTGACTCCAGCAAAGAAGTTTTTTGGTTCTAGAACTGTCAACTCAGTATACCTTGCAGTGACAGACAGAAGTCCTCAAAAAAATACAGTAGACTAGGAGTATTAAAGTGCTAAAAGATGATGCAAATCCTATCAGTGATCTATCGCATATAATCAATCTTTGTTTTACAAAAGGAGTTTTTCCGGAGGCTTTAAAGAATGCACATATGAATAAAGCAATACACAAAAAAGAAAATATATGGAAGATGAGAACAATTATAAACCAATATTATATCGCTCCTTCCCAAATTATAGAGAAAATAATCTGCAGTCAACTTATGTCATTTCTTTCATAGCAAATATGTTATTGAAATGGTTTTTTAAAAGGAAAATTAAGCAATGTAATGTGCTGCTCACTAAACAACAAAAATCTTACTATGGCCATGTGTATGGATTTATCAAAAGCCTTTGATAGTGTAAACCATAAGACATTGTCTGCCAAATTGGAAAATTATGATATTAGAGGTAATGCATTGGAACTGATGAAGTCTTATCTACAAGATAGAATGCAACAAGTAGTTGAATATGAACTGCATGGAAGAATTATTGCTTTGGAGAAGATAAAAATACTAAAGGGAGTTTCTCAGGGATCAGTTCTTGGGCCCCTCTTGTATGTCCTGTATATACACCAATAATTTTATAGATAGTGTGTGTGTCTGGCACCAAAGTAATTTTTATTGAAGAAAATGAAGATGATGAGAAGCGTTCCCATTACCTGTGACAGATATTTTTCATCACACGATCTATGGTTAAATGTATCTAAGACCAAATGTCTTGTATTTGGTAATAGAATACGAACTTACATTTTCTTACAAAAATACTTAAATGGCAAGTGCTAAGGACATTCCATTTCTTGGTCTTACAATAGACCTAAGACTGGATTGACGGGCACACATATGGAGAATATTGCTAAAAGTATATCTTCGGTACTGTTATTCTTTGAGACATTTGAGAGTCGTATCAAACACCATCAGCACATATAAATAAGCTTTTATTTCCAACAGGAACAAGTCCCAATTACAGAAAAACTGAGTTTTCTGTACATATTACAGTCATGACGTCTTAATAATAGAGAGAAAAATTAACTGTTCAGTATAGCAACGATAATTTTTGATAATCGGTCCTGGTTAATGTAGTGTTCTGAATGCACTTCTGGTGATTGACTGGTATTGTTAAATCAGTCATCATATGTCAGAGTTAGTCATTAGTCATGAAATTGAGTTATGCATTATTTAGTTATTTCGAGTCAATAAATGATTTGAATTTAATGATACAAATGTGTATCATTTAGAAGTCTAATACACAACATAATTGGCGACGAGAATCGATCTGAAACCACGCCGATAGTGAAGTACAAAGCCCTGGCTGGTGGGCATATTATTAAAAAGTCAAGTCATTGAAGTCTGTTGTCAAAAAAAGTCCGCAAGGTAAGAGTCCAAAAAGCTTAATCATGGCTTTAATTGGTAGTATTGAGTCTTTTAATCCGAAAGAAAACGAAATTACTTCATATTTAGAAAGATTGGAGCAGTTATTTAAGTGTAATAGTATTTCTACCGAAGAAAAGAAAGTTCCATTGCTAATTACCTTAATGGGGGGTGAGGCTTATGGTATTTTAAAAGATTTGTTAGCCCCAGTGTTGCCCAGTACAAAAACGTATGATGAATTAACCAATGAATTAAGGAAGCACTATAGTCCAAAGAGATTGGTTATAGCAGAAAGGTATCGGTTCCATACTGCTTTCCAAGAACCACACGAAGATATTACAGCTTTTACGGCAAGGTTGAAAAAACTAGCCAAGTTCTGTGATTTTGGAACCTTTCTTAGTGATTCATTAAGAGATAGATTAGTTTGTGGATTGAAGTCAGAGAGTATCAAGCGTTGTTTGCTTACAAAAGATGCTTTGTCGTTCGAAAAAGCCTTTTCCACAGCTGTTGGTATGGAATTGGCTGAAGGACAGACAAAAGTCATAGGTTCGTCTGATGGTCAAGTCCTTGGTCAAGTCAATAAAGTCGGAGAAAGACCATTCTATAAAAGAAATTCAGGTCCAAGTCAGTCAAGAAGTCAACATGGAACTTATCCAAAGTCGAGTCATGGAAATAGTTACAAATCAAACAATTATAACAAACAAGGGAGTTGTAAAAGATGTTGTCGTACTCATGTTAATAACTCAAAGTGTCCAGCCGTATCTTGGAAGTGTTTTGCCTGTGGTCAAATTGGGCATACTGGAAAGTCTCCAATGTGTAAAAACAGAGTCCATGATTTACAGGAAGAAGAACCAGAAAAGGCAGACTCAGACTCAGAGGACGATTTTGAGTTAGGTCTTCTAGATGAAGATGATGGTGAGTTTGTTCTGAAGTCTTTAAAAACCAAATTTAGTGACAGTCTCAGGGTAAGATTATCTTTAGATTTCAATACTATAGATATGGAAGTTGATTCTGGAGCAGTCCGTTCTGTAATGCACGAGAGTGATTGTAAGAAATTGTTTTCTTATCTTGCTTTGAATCCTGTAGACTTTAAATTACGAGTATTAACTGGTCAAAAAGTATCCATTTTAGGTCAGATTGATGTACATGTCGAGTACATAGACAAAATGTATGTTTTACCTTTAGTAATACTCAAGTCTGAATCAAGGTTCATTCCATTATTAGGTCGAAATTGGTTAGGTGTTTTAAATAGAAATTGGAAAGTTAGTCTTTTAGATAATAGTATAGTCATCAAGCAAATTTCAGAAACTGATAGTATCAGTAAAGTAAGTGAACAGTCAGAGTCAAGTAAAGTTAGAGCTATTGCTCAAATAAAAAATCAGTTCTCAAATTTGTTTGTTGATGAATCCAATTCTTTCATTAAAAATTTCAAAGCCGAATTTAAGTTGAAGGATGGTGTTAATCCTATTTTTCATAGGGCATATGAGATGCCATATGCATTAAAACCAAGAGTTGAGGAAGAACTTTCACGAATGGTCAAATCTGGTGTCTTGTTTAAGGTTAGTCATAGTAATTGGGCGAGTCCTATAGTTGTTGTTCCAAAGAAAAACACAAATGAAATAAGAATTTGTGTAGACTTTAAAAAGACTTTAAACAAAGCTATTGATAGTGACCATTGTGTCCTTCCTTTACCCAATGATATTTTTGCAAGTCTTGGTGGTAGTAGTTGTTTCACTGTTTTGGATTTAAAGGGTGCCTATCAACAACTTTCCATCAGTGAAGCATCTAAAGAGTTGTTTACTATCAACACACATATGGGTCTATTTAGATTCAATCGTATGACATATGGAGTAAGCTCAGCTCCAGGTATTTTTCAGTGTACAATGGATGCCATTCTGGCAGGTTTGCCTAAAACTAAATGCTATATAGACGATATTTTAATTCATGGTAGTTCTCTTCAAGAATGCCATAAAAATGTGATTAGAGTATTAGAAAGATTAACTAAATTCAATGTTAAGATAAATAAAAGCAAGTGCAAGTTTTATGAGAAATCCGTAGATTTTCTGGGTCACAAGATAGATTTTTTAGGAATACATCCAACTGAGGAGAAAATTGAATGCATTAAAAATGCTCCTTCTCCGGAAAATATATCACAATTAAAATCATATTTGGGTCTTATCAACTATTATGGCAAATTTATATATATGCTTTCAGAAAAACTGAAACCTCTTTATGATCTCTGTAAAGGGGATTGTAACTTTCTGTGGAGCCAAGAGTGTGAAAAAGCCTTTCAACATAGCAAAAATTTAATTACATCCGAAGATGTTCTGACACACTTTGATCCCACAAAGCCTATATATGTGACGTGTGATGCAAGTGGTTATGGCGTAGGTGCAGTGTTGAGTCACCAAATCAATGAAAATGATAAACCTGTTTTATTTGCATCAAGTACATTATCTCGGGCAGAACAAAAATATTCAAATTTAGAAAGAGAAGGTTTGGCTATCATTTTTGCATTAAAAAAATTCCATAAGTATATTTTTGGTCGTAAATTTATTCTAGTGACAGATCATCAACCTCTGCAGTTCATTTTTGGTCGAAATAGAAATATACCTGTTACTGCTGCTGCGCGAATAATGCGCTGGGCTATTAGTTTGTCTGCTTATGATTATATTATTCAATATAAAAAGGGTAGTCAAATTTCGAATGCTGATGGATTGTCCCGTCTTCCGATAGAAAGTGAAACTGGTATCTCTGATTCTCTATTTTCATTTAGTTTGTGTTATGATGCCCCAATGGATTCCACTGATATTGCATTAGCTACACAGAAAGATATAATTTTATCTAAAGTTATCGATTTGACACTTCGAGGATGGCCTCATGCGGTGA